TATGGCAACTGGTATCGTGGTCTGTCCGTTTTGCTGCAGGTTTAAGTATACCGGGCAATAGACAGGGTAAACTAGCGGCGAATTGGGCGACGGGTTCAGCTAAAACAGCGAAACATCAGACACCTCAAGTGGCATCATTCGTTTCATATAATCACATACTTGAGAAGAGTCAGAAGAAGAAATCAGCTGATTAGAAATGGAAACCACCTGCCGAGGAGAATTGACGCAGTGCATCGGCTGTCCCGTGGTGTGACAGGGATTGCCTGGAACAAAGCGAAGCGCGGTAAATAAAAATATGCCATGGAAAAATGACATGATTCTCATCAAAAACGATAAATAAGACGAAAAAAACCTAGAAAACTTAATTAGGTAAAGCTGTCAGAAAAGTGTATCTTGAAACAAGATTAGGAGTACATTTACTACACGTGTCATACATGTATAGCGTTAAAATGTTATTATTTAAAAACAATAATCTGCAAGAAATTTCATTTCGTTTAGCTACGATGCTGAAAGAATATTCACCACTATACTCCCAAACACAATTCTTAGATTTTATCAGCGAATTTCCACAACAAACTGTTCTGAAAGAAGGTATCAGGTATCAGTCAGTATCAGGTACTAGTCAGTCGATCAGTCAGTTTCGATGAACGCCTATCTTTCCAGGCAACGGAGGCAGATGCACCAGTTTACAACGTTTCTGATATTGTGTCACCTTCGAGCTTCGGCAAAAGATTATCTGAGTCTAGAACAGGCTGTGTCGAAACAAGGCTCCAAATCATTCCTAGCCGTTTCGTTGTTTCGAGACAGCTGGCTGGGCAACTAGAGGTGTTTCACCTTCCTCTCTGGAGGCATTCGCAAGAAATGCCAAAAGCATCTCAGCTCTGACTTCTCAATCTGAAGAAGCAACGGTTGTAAACCAAGACCATCTCGAGTATTTCTACTCCGAACCATGTCCAGATGCATGAGCCCGCGATTTGTCTCAGAAAGCTCATTTCAGTCGCTTATACCCGGGGTCGAAGTTTGTCAATCGACCCATGATTCCCGGCCATAAGTAACCATAACGAAGATCGATTTGAATGCAGATACCTTAGTCATCAGACTCAGTTCTGTCTTAGTCATTACAGTTCAGGCCAGTTCAAGCAGGACGCCTCGAGCCATTCCAATTCACCAGTCAATCTCTTCGTGGCATTTACCATCAACAGCAAACCGACCCAGAGATATGCGAACTTCTCAGCCTCCTTGACTGCTCCCCAATTTATGTGCGGAGCGCAACGGGCAGGAGAACGAGAACGCACTAGGCTTTTCGTATTAGATACGTTTACACGCATGCCGGTTACGTCGCACTCGGCTGCGAACCTTTCCAGAGAGCACTGAAGTTGTCAATAAAACAAGGTCGTCTGCAAAAAGCAACCTCCTCGTCTCGACACCTCCTACACCGATACACTTATCGATTTGGCTGCACCTGACTATTCTATCCATGCACAACACATGAGAAGGTCAGAATACAGCGGAGATCAGTGCCAAAGCCAAAAGATATCGACTAAACATCATTTACTCTAATGCTGCACCTGCCATCAACATATAGTGATTGGATGGCCTGTAGCAACTGGCCATTGATCCCATATGTCTGCAGACACGCGCATAGATTAATGAGCGGAATCCGGTCATAGCCTTTCTCCAGATAAACAAAGCATATCTAAACCAGATGAGCAACCGCCAACAATTTCTCAACAATCTGGCCCAAGACGAAGATCTGGTCGGCAGTGCTTCGGACCGACCTGACGATACACTGCTCTTGTTGTGCCTTAGAATAAGTCATTACGCGGCAACTCCTTTGTAACACCTCAGCGTAAACTTTCACATGAGGCTATATATGGCAATGCCCCGATAGCTGGAGTACACCAAGGTATCCCTTCTTGAATAGGGGCATTACCAACCCCAGTTCTCCAGTTCACCGGCATTTTCCCCATAGCCACTGCAGTCTGACAGATACGTTTGAGCCATAAGATGAACTGATCGCCTAAAAGCTTAAGCATCTCATGGCAGATTTCGACCAGATCGATTTCAGCAACCTTGGCACCTTTCAAGAGCTTCATAGATTTTGTGACTGCATGCAAAACTGGAATATCTTCTGGGTGCTACTCATTAGGCAAATCTTCCTGCGGATGTTCTGGGTTAAGGAATTCCTCAGATTACTCGCTCTATTGCAAAATATGCTTTCATCACTGAACGTAATGTAATAGTCTGCCAAGAAATTCTGTAATAAAATTACTAACATTCACTATGGTAAAAGAGAATAATTTGTTCTTCAGTGATAGATTTAAAAAAAATCGACGAAGCCCCTACAGATTATTTTCCTAATCAAATGTTTCATTGAAAACGTTGAAAATCTGGCATCGGACACAAATCCGAATTAATTCACACGAAAGCTCTTCGACTCTTCTAAAGATTTTAACGGTTCCAAAATGGTTCAGAAAATTCAGGTAGCACACTAATACCGAAAGACAACAAACCATTAGGTAGCTTATCACAACCGACTTCGGTATTGCAGCATTGACAAAATGACCTGACATAAACCGCCTTTAATTTTTAGTTCCGTTGCACTATCTTAATTGCATGTTGCAGTCCGTAGTGGTAATCTGTTCACACGGGTATGGATAATACCCTTCAGATAGAGAAAAAACGATTCGCAATTAAGTCATTGCCGTTACAGGCTGAAACTGGCATATGGTTCAATCCAAGGCGGTAAGACTGCAGTTGAACTGAATAATTACCAAGCTTACTACTGCACTTAAGCCTCAGCACTGTTGTCTGCATGTTTAAGTCAACACCTTGGCATTAGTGTATGCTGAGGCCTAAGCAGGAATGCGGTAAAAGTAACAAATTATAAATCTGGCCGAAAAGCAAATTAATTTCAGGTCATACCTGTATAGACGGACTACCACTGTGGACGATAACATATATAAACTTTAAAGAATGTCACTGCTGCCACGAATTACAAATTTGAGCTGAAAAGTAAATTAATTTCAATTTACACCCATCTGGACGGACTACCACTCTGAACGGTAACATGTAAACTTTAAAGAATGTCACTTGCCCATTTAGTACTTGTAACTTCCGTCAGTAGAAAAAAAGTGTTGCACTTAAGAAATATTAGAAACTGCTCATTAGCGTGACTCCTACTTCACTTTCAGTATTTACATATAGAATTTAAGCCAGTTCTGATCAATAAAAACCACTGAATTCCTTAAATTAGGTGCCTTGGTTCTTTGAAAAGACTTTTTGCTAGAAACAGTGCCTTTATATAGACCCCTTCAAGAATCATTTTATGAAATAAGTTTCAGAAGTCGGGAAACGAAGAGATAATATAAATAACAAAATAAGTTAAATATTTATTGAATGTATTACTTTATGATGGATTATCGTTGACAGTTCTAAATAATTCTTCTGAAACAACATGAAACTTTTAGTTATGCAACACAGAATAGGTAGTCTGTTAGTTTATAAATCACTGCGAGGCTTAATTCAGTATTTTACGGCTAGTCTTCAAGGTAAAGTTGACGCAAAATCATCGAATGGTCATTACACAAGTTGACAGAAAGAATTCCAATTATGATCCTCGTTTCTCGATCATAGTTCAAATCAAAAATTAACAAAGGATGACACGATTTTTCTACTCGACGCCAGCGTTTGCATCAGGGTTATGTCACAAATAAAACAGCAAAACTTAAGTGAATTTTAGTAACAATAACGCGTGTTGCATTATTTCTTCTAGACAAGCTGGCCGACAAAATTTCATTTATCATTCAAACCATAAGAGTTACACGGATACAAGGCACCAACAATATCGTCAGAGTTACACATAACATGATATTATATAAGTCTGAAGATGTTACTGATTTTCAGTGACAAAACGCTAAAATAATTAACCAAGAAGCTCGGGACTGATTCTAATTGATGCCGAAAATCAAGAAAATTTGAAATCTTATACAAGCTGGGTCGAAATATCATTCTTCTTCACCTTATCAGCTAGCAAACCCCGCAAAAGCTACGTCTATCAAAAATATATTTATTGCTGAAAAAGCAACTTAGAAGCAATGGAAAAGAACTTCAGACGTACTGTTGCACTCCGCTTTCCAAGTGTCTGTTGAAAATCAACTCTGAGTGAAACGTATGTGCCAAAAATTTCAAGGCTCGATTACGATATGCGATGCAAACGCTTTTTCGAAACGAAACAAAACGACTTACAGTTCGGTGTCAACGTATCGTTAATTTGACTAGACGACAGCTGCTGCCAGCTGTAGGAACTACCCTGCGGTTGAAGCATCACGTAAGCAAAAATCTGAAACAAAGCTGTCGCCACGTCCGTAGCCATTGTCCAACAATCAGCAAACGTCACGCTACCTGCGGTACACTGTTGTAGGAGTTTGGCGAACCGGTGAGACGAGCAGCGTCGGTCGTGTTGGCGATATCCGAAGGGTGTTGGGCCAACGGCTGAACGGCGCTGACGAACATCGAGCTGTCTTGGGAACCGTTACTCTGCTGCACACATGGCATCACGGAACACGCGTTCGGAGTCGCTGCTGCCGAAGGACATGACATGCCCTGAACGAACTGCAGCAAAGCGGGGTTGTGCCGATAGACTGTGCCGTCCTGATTCAGGAATGGCTGGCCTAAAAATAAGTTTTAAATCAACAGGTGAAATTTACAAACGTTAACAAGCCCGTTAAAACAAGACATGCCAAAGTTGATCCCAACAGCAAACAGAACAAGGAAAACAGGAAAAGATGGCGGGAAAACAGGCAATCAAGTTGATGCGCAGCAGTCATACAGCTCATATTGGCAGCACTAACGGCCAAAGCAGCTAGAGGTCAACAAGCACAACTGCATCATGAGAGACGGAAACGAATAAAATAATTACTGGTAATTCACTAACTGGCCTCAACTGGTTCGAGGCAGAAAAAAACAACCGTAAGAAACGATTCCGTCCTTAGATGTAAGCTAATATGAAAGGAGAAACGAGCTCCGCATTACTATGATAGTAAACCAATAACCACTGGAGTGAAGCATCGCAAAGGAAGATAAAGTATGGTGCGAAGAGCCCACTGCCAATAGCCTCTACGAGATTTAAGAAAGCCTAAATCGAAGCAGACAACTGTTTAGGCAGCAATACCTTGGAATCACCAGGTGTGGAAAGTGACTCGTAAATGCACTCAAACCTGAAGCAATCGAAATCTGCCACGAATATCAAACGCTCCTTCCAGACCAAAATTAGCATCGCATAATCAACCAGCCTGAATGGATCCAGCGCAGTAAAAATGATCAATCAGCGTAGCTGATTTTTCTCTTAAAAATACCATCAATTTCCAAAACAAAATAGGCTTGCCTTGTATTACTGTCTGCAGAGCAATCGTAGCAATGGTTGGCAAAAAATCAATCGTTTTGTTTTGCTGAACAGCAAGAAAAATTACAAAAGACAACGTATGCGAATTTCAGATGTTTCATCTAGCCGGTTAAGCAGGAGCATCTTCCTGTACATAATCTCAGTAGAACGCCTTCGGTGGATATGGTTCGTATTTTTTACCGCCATCTGTGTCATGAAAAAACGTTAAATTAGCACCAATACCTGGGTTTCCCATACACATTTTCTCAGCGTCTTCTGTTCCATCATTTCCATGACGATGACGATGATTGGTGGCGAAAATGATGAAGAGTATGAAGTCTCCATCCATCTGATCCATCTTTTTGTATCAGTCAGTTGTTGTTGCAGTCATAATTGGAAGACATGAGCTTATCATTACATACATGTCGAAGCTGCCAAATTGAAGATCCGAGAAATCAGAAGCCAGCAAACATAAGATTGGACTGATAATCTTGAATAGAGAATTTAGACTAACATATTGCAGTGCAATTAACTGAGAAAAAGCCCATGTCGATGAGTCTGGAAAAATTAGAACAGGTAACTAATCTGAAGATAACAGAACAATAAGCTAATTCAATTTCTAATTCATCAAGAAATAGACCGTAGTGCTGTGAACCGACTCAGAACGACCAATGTAAAATGAATACAACAGATTATAAATAAAATAAATTTTAACCAAATTGTAAGTTCAGATTCTTTCGAAAAGAACAAGGATTAAATGTCACTGAATAAAACCAAAAGGTCTGGATACAATAAAACAACTATCATATAAACGGGCTAGCTGCACAGTAAACAGGAAATCTCCAAAATAAGCCACAACAAGAAATTACTGATCATTTTTTCATGATCAACGATGATTAGCCATATCTGTTCTGGATGTCAACGTTTATCTACCTCGTGCGATTTGTCTTCACAAAATTTCATATCGTTCTTTTAGCTCATAGTACCATCTGCGCTGAAGGGTAACCGGATAAAAACCCCCTGAACAATAACTCCTCGGACAAAGTACAGTTCTTTTAAGTTCGTCATTTCGGCCTCGTTGGGTCTTCTTTTACACTCGAGCGATACAACTCAATTTGCTAAATTTTTCTGCTTCACATAAACATGACCTTCGAAAACCATCTTCTCTTTTCCTTTATTCGATCTTACCAATCCCACAATAGTTTACAAGACTTCTGAGATACTAGGCTCTCATCGACAATATGTATTCAACAAGATCCTTTATGATAATGAGTGATAGACCTATATTCTTTAAGCGGATTTTGTCCACAGGGAGGGAGGGTTGTCTATGAGGGATTTTTTTAATAATCTTCGAGACTATGATTCCGGAATGTCAGAAAAGATATGAATCTGATACAGCAAATAGTTTTCTTTTTAATGGCATTACGGCCGTTGAAAAGGCAAAATACAGAAGTTCCTTTCAGTTAATTTCAAAACTTCGCTTGCCATCGTTCTCTCGTCTTTTATTGGTCATTTAATTTTTGATCATATTTCAGTCATATACTAAGAAACAAAATACTTTAGTCACCTTCTTCAAGTAATAAACCATCATTCATCACTATCATACGCTGCATTCACAAACCACACATCCAATATAAATTCAAAACTGTCCTGCAAAAGTTAACCGTTGTAAGTATTAAAACAGGTGTAGCTCTGGCAGCTTTTATCACGCTTCGTTTTCACAATCGAACCGAATTAAGACATCACATTTCAGAACGACGATACGAAATTGTCATTACTGCTCTTCGGCGCCAATGCCTGAGCATCAGCAGCAGATACTGAGCCTAGACTTCCCTGGAGTCTTTTCCATTTTGACCTACGAAAAATAACTACATGATCATTGAATCCAGTGGTACTTGCAGGACATGCTTAAACCATCGCAACTGCAACCTCACACCTAGAAATAACGGCCCCATTCCTAGTTTTTCGGATCACCGAGTACGAACGATGGCGAGACACTTAAGCCTTGCAATCTTTATCAGGTGATAATTATAATCAGTCCCTCAGTCAGTCATCCAGAGAGTGAGTCTGTCATTCAATCATTCAGTCAGTCATTCAGGGGCAGAGCGCATCGAGAAACTTGCGTAGGTCATTTTTGGCCATCCCCAAGGTCTGGTAGTGGTGCTGACTGCGTATGACATAAAGCACTCCAGATCGGTGACGTTTCGCATAATGAAAATGCGAGACCATGTTTTCCTTATTTAAATTGCAACAGCAGCGAAAATATATCGTGAACAGTAGCCAAATCTCTAAAACGCAGAAAACAAAGGTTGAAAAAAATAAACTGCTGACGTTTAACACAGGTTCTTCAATCGGTAGAGCGCTAAACTCACAGTCAAAAATCAATGAGTCCGAATCGTGATATCGGATCATCCGACCTACAGAGGTAGAAAAATCATCATTTGTGAGAAACGAAACAGGAGATCATACAACGTTGCGTTTAAACACTAAGTGATCGCGCACAAACGCAGATCAACATCGTACTGTAAAGTAAACTCCACAAAGTGGACGATGCAACAATTAGTGTCCTTTACGTAATTGTAAGGGAAGGCAACATTCCGACGCTTCGAACTTTCCTTCTTTTACGTCCAAACCTGCAATATAACATTTCCTAATACTGCTCGCATTCTGAATTAAAAGACACATATCCATGTCAGATCGAAGAAAAAAATACACTAATACATCGATCTGACTAATATTCCTTATAGTACGAAAAGCTGCGCTTGAATGTAAAAGAACAAACTACAGTGAAAGGTTGGTTGAAATAAAGAAGTGAACAAAAAAGCTGAATGACAGACCGCCGGCAATTAACAAGGCATGAGACAGCGGGCATGCATCATAATCACGTGCACAAAGCAAAGCAGTGTGATCTGATTCTAACCTGTCTGCGGGTTAATTATTATGGCACCGAAAGGCACTTGTTCTATGTTTGCTACTGCAAATATAACGGATTGTCCGGCCGACAGTCCCGGTGGCGGACGGCAACCGGAAGGCATACTAACGGAGTCGTTGACAGAATTCGATCGTATCACGGGCGGCAGCACCTGGTGGCTTTCGGTACCATCGTTCTCTGCAAATGGCAAGCATGGTCATTTCATTGTTAACCAGTAATGACTAAGTGTGACATGAAAGCATCACTTCTGCAATGGCGTCAGCGACAAACCAACCTTCTCATCATGGTTATGAATCAGTTAAGCGATTATTGACCCTTCGATCGATTAACCGATCGGCTGACTGTGCTCACCTGTACGACAACGGCGTATCTGAGTCTTGGTCGTCGGTTCCATCCGATAGAAAGCGGTGGAATTCATCACAGTACAGTTCGCTGATGGAATGGCACCACCGGCAGCGATCTTCGGCAGGAATTGGTTCGTGCTGACCTGTTGACTGATCTGAGGCCATGCGACGTCACAGCCGCTGTCGGCACTGCTCCATGGTCGTGCATAAGAATCGCTGAAACTCACCGATGAATCTACGCAATAAATGAGTTGTGCACTTTACTTTGCTGGAGATTCGAAACAGCCCTCCGTCGAAGAGTTGGACTAAAAGTTACAGTGTCAGAATTGGCCAAATCAAACAACGCCGCCATGTCGATAAAATTATAACATACGTCTTGGTTGAAAATCCTCGCTCTTGCCCGGACGTAGTCTTCCTCTCGTTCTTCGAAGGAACGCGTTTTATGCGAATCGAGCGAAGATTCATTAATCCTATCCTGAAACAATGTTCGGCTGAAGTGAGCGTATTAAACCATTAGCTACACAAGTTTATTTAAATTATTTTATGATTTGAAGAAACAACAAAATTTTATGCATAGCACATCAGTAATATGTACAAAAGAGATATATTTAACTAAACGAACCGAAGTTACATGTTTCCAGACATCAGCTTTCATTAAGACATTTGACGATCGGCATCTTGAAATGTCAAGATAGGTTAACCAGTAGAGAGCCAAGCCCACAAATAGAAGATAACGGGTTCGAATCTAAACTTTCACCCCTGCCTTTCTGAAGATGGCAAATAAGCATCAGCTCATAGGAAGAAAACAACAAATACACAACATTCTATCCAGTCATGCATCTTCACATAACGCTTTTGCTGACTAATTTATTAATGCCATTCTTCATCAATGAAATTGCGAAGCTAACAAACTCAAGGAAAAAAGGGTGTCCATCATACAAGTACAGTGAAGCGTCTATCTGTTGAAAGCCTGTCTTTTTATTTTGCCTTCCACAAAGGTGTCTTTATTTTTTGAGCGCACAGCCAAGCGACTATATTAATAATCATATTACGGCGCAGATTATCAGGATCAGTTGTACAAAAGTGACTCAGCAGAAATGTAAAGCTTGGATATATCATGACATTCATGACTTGACCTTTGAAATCTCAACAGGAAAAGCGGAAGAGGCATAAGAAAGAACAGGTTGTGCCATAGATTATCATAAGGAACGATTACACATAGGAGTTTTCAATATCTGATCATTAAAATAACATACTTGGTGAGGTAGAACGAAAGGGTCTCACTTCAGCTGCTTGGGTTGAGTAAAGTACACGCGATACAGCAATAAAATCGAAATTTTGACTACAGCAGCTACCAAATACAGTTGTTGTTAAACCTACGTATTTTACATTAAAATAATTCCACTAAAAACTAGGTGTTCCGCATTATAACGTAACTGCTTGGTTCCTAGATGCGTAGAAGGCACTTTAAGGATGACGTAGCTCCATGGAATCTTAGCACCAGCAATGCATAGCGTCATAGCATTATCTTAGTAGCGAATGAAATGACATACACGTCACCAAGGACATTTCGTGAAATCTTGTTTAGTAAAGCTATGCGCTGACTAACATGCTAGCGGCCTACGAACTCACGTCTACTTTATTGCTATGACAGCATCTGAAGAACCACCTTTATGAATCTTGGAACATCACTGATCACAAGCACGCACGCCATCGCTTGGCTACTAAAATGATGCGATACCTCGCTAGATGACTCAACACAATGCTTAAGTCACTTGCTCCACTATCCGCTGGATTCTGGAAGCAAAATATTTTGATCCGCATGTCAGTCACTTCTCGAGTGTGCAACTTGACTATTCTTAATGAAAATATGATATACCTCGTTTGAAAGATTATCACAATCATCTTCAAATCGATAAAATAAATTATGACCAGACATCATTACAACACTTAATAGTTGTGCAACTGCAAGTACTTACTTCTTCAAAACTTTGAGCGTCTCTTTTGAGAAGCACCCGGTGCTTTGGTTCCTCGCTAAACATGTCGTGTCGAATATAATTTTTGAATCTAACAGCCGGCCTAAACAAAAAAATTAACTAAATTTTAAAATGTAATAAATACTGGCTTTTACTGTACAATTTTGTTATTGTATTACGAATATAATATAAACGTAATGCTATATTGTTGCAGGCCTCAATTCGCATTTGTGGCGTAATGGTATAGAGCGTTAGAGGTCGGTTTTAAATTCGAACTCCAGAGGTTCTTGGGTCAGGTGCCGCGGCGGGCAATCGCTGTTCTTTTCCATTGAGCAAGGAATTTATTCAACGTTGCGTCAGACCTGGATCACTCGGTAGAGCGTCAGACTCAAAACCGAGAGGTTGGGGACTTTGTCTTTGTCAAAGTCACTCGCTTTACTTCTATCTATCCGAGGATCACAAATGAGTACCACTCGGATATATGTGTGAGAAGGAAACAGAAAAATGCAGACTGTGACTATCACACGGCCGCTGTCGATTCCACCTTTACAGATAAGGCATTTGGCGGATGA